CTATTATTAAGTGTGGTACCTTATGATTCGTGACTCTTGACGAATGTTATCTTTTCTTTTATGTACACTGAGAGCATTTGGACCAAAGACAAATTCCTCGTGTGTCCAATCACACTTGGCCAATAATTTTTTTTATTCTATTCTATTCTATTCTATATTTCTTATGCTTTTAAATTTTTACTTCTTCTATTTATACTGCTTATACTTAATATATTTGGCCAAATGTAATTAAACCCACAAGGAATTTGTCTCCAGTACAAAAGTACCCAGTGTACTTGCAAAACAACAGTGTATTATAATAATAATAATGCTAAAGTGTACAGCCAAATTAAAAGGAGAAGTAAAATATAATAAAGTGGATAAATAAAATACTGTAGCCACAGTATGGCTTAATCTACATATACATTAGGCAAAAAGAAATAATACTGATTACAGGTAGTTCTCAACTTATGGCCACAATTGAGCCCCGAATTTCTATTGCTAAGTGAGAGTTATGCGAGATTCGCCCTATTTTGCTACCTTTTTTTTGCCACGGTTGTTAAGTGAATCATTGCAGCTGTTAAGTAGGTAACACGCTTGTTAAGTGAATCTGACTTCCCCATTGACTTTGTTCATAAAAGAGGATAGCGTGACCCCCCAGAACATTGTAACCGTCGTAAAATATGAGTCAGTTGCCAAGCATCCGAATTTTGACCACAAGAGCATGGGATCACAAGTGTGAAAAATAGTCACAAGTCACTTTTCTCAGTGCCGTTATAATGGCAAACCGTCCCTAAAGGAATGCTTGTAAGTCAAGGACTACAAGTATATTTGAGGATCAAGTAACCATATAAGTAGGTTGCATATAATAACAAAGTACCCTATTTCCCCGAAAATAGGACCTACCCTGAAAGTAAGTCCTAGCTTGATTTTTATGTGTGCCCAATATAAGACCTACCCCCCCCCAAAATAAGCCCTAATTAAGATCCCACACACTCCAGAGTGGATGGGTAAAAAATTAAGCTAGGGTGGGGATGGAGGGGGGTGAGGGTGGAGCTGCACTACTGCTTACCTTTGGACAGGTGTAGCCAGGCCTCGCACACCCCGACACCTGCCTAGCTGGCCCATTTCTTCTGCAGCCAGCAAGGCTGGCCAGGCTTTCCTGAAGGCCTCTAGCTGATAACAAAGCTCTGGATCGATCCAGAACTCCATTATTGGCTGCAGAGGCCTTCAGGAAAACCTTACCAGCCGCAGAAGAAGAAAAAGTTCCTGAAAGCAGGACAAGAAGCAACGTGGAAACTAATCAAGCAGAGAAGCAACCTAGAACTAAGGAGAAATTCCCTGACAGGGAGAACAATTAACCCGTGGAACAACTTGCCACCAGAAGTTGTGGCTGCTCCACACTGGAGGTTTTTAAGAAGAGATTGGATGCCCCTTTGTCTGACAGGGCACAGGGTCTCGTGCTGGAGCAGGGGGCTAGACTAGAAGACCTCCAAGGCCCCTTCCAACTCTGTTATTCTGTTAAAATCTGGCTTTAACTGGCTCAATGGGAATTTAAAGGGTTGGGTGTTTTTTTTTTTGCAAAGTTGAAGCTGGAGAAAAGGTGACCACCTAGAAACCCAAAGGTTACTTACCTAGTCCCGAGATGAAGAGCAGCTGCTGTGTGCCGCGCCGCACCGAGCTGGCGAGTGTCAGGTTGACGAAGGCTTTGATGTTCAACCGGTCCACCAGCTGCAGCCAGGAGTCGGACTGGTCCGGCAAGGGGTCAGAAGGGAGGCAGTCTGGGGACAAGCAGAGCGGGTCAGTCTCAGGGCCTGGCCCAGCAGAGGGAAAGGACAAAGACACCGGCACACGCCATTATTCGAGACATTTTCATCTTGGTGATACCCTGTTTCCCTGAAAATACGACCTACCCTGAAAGTAAGTCCTAGCTTAATTTTTACACATGCGCCCAATAGAAGCCCTACCACCCCCCCCAAAATAAGCCCTAATTAAGATCCTGCCCACTCCAGAGTAGACGGGTAAAAATTAAGATAGGGTGGGGATGGTGGGGGGTGGTGCAGCTGCCCTACTACTTACTTTGGACAATTGTAGCCAGGCCTCGCACACCCCGACACCTGCCTTGCCGCCCTATTTCTTCTGCAGCTGGCAAGGCTTTCCTGAAGGCCTCTGTCGCTAGGAACAAAGCCTCCGGATCGATCCAGAGCTCCGTTATCGGCTGCAGAGGCCTTCAGGGAAGCCTTGCCAGCTGCAGAAAAAGTTCCTGAAGGCCTCTGACAGTGAAAAGGAGGCCGTGGGCGACGTGTGCAAACGAGATTAGTCAGTGGATGACGTCCCCCCAAAATAAGACCTGGTGCCTTTTTTGGTGGCCAAAAAATAATAATAATAATAAGTCAGGGTCTTATTTTTGAGGAAACACATTTGTAGTGGCCAATATGGTTGGCTTTAAAACAGCGTTTCCAAACCTAGGTAATTTTAAGGTGTGTGGACTTCAATTCCCAGAATTCCCCTGCCCGCATAGCAGGGGAATTCTGGGAGTTGAAGGCCATACATCTTAAAACTTGCAAAAGTTGAAAAAAACTCTACTCTAGTGGTTACAATGCTGAATTAAGAACAGGGCCATCTGGATTTAGCATGAAAGCTTCCTGGGCAATTTTTGTGCTAATTTCTTTCCTACCTCGTAGGGTCATTGTAGGAGAAAGTAGCAGGAAGAACACTAGGGGCCTCCTGCTGGATTTACAAAATGAGCTCTTATTTTACCAATGAATAAAACCCCAACCCTTGGGATAGCTTTGAATACTACAGGCTATATTAAATCTGGTTTTTATTTTTCCTGATCAGGTGCGTGATGCTGGTAAATCCATTCTTTCTCTGCCCGAAAGTGAGTTTATATTTTCTCAAGTGTCATTTGAGATCTAATCTTTATAGCCGCCTCCCAAAAGATTATTGTCTGTTTCACAAATCTTCCTCGGAAAGGCATCTCCTGGTGTACAGGTAATCCTCGATTTACAATGATTCGTTTAGTGACCCAAGTTACAACGGTACTGAAAAAAGCGACTTCAGTTACCAACTCTACCATTTAACAACGGTGGCAAAATGGAGCAAAAATAATCACTTAACGACTGCCTCATTTAGCGACAGGAAGGTGAGGCTCAATCGTGGGCGTAAGTCGAGAATTGCCTGTGGCAACGATGCCAGATTTCTCATCTGGCCACATGTGAGAATGATGGTTTCACCGTGTGGGCAGAGGAGAAGCAGAAGATGGTTTGTTGTGGCTGCTCACGGGCTGTTCCCAAACCCTGAATCTTCGTCTAGGACACAAATCAGGTGCCCCCTTCAATCCTCTACAACTTGCATGATTTGCACAATTGCTTAGATTTCATCCGTGCCTTTTCCTTCATCCCTTTCTTTCCCCCGCCTCTGTCTCTCTGTTTTGGTCAACTCTAGGTTAAAAAAAAAAAAATGAAATTAGCAACCTTCCTCCTCCCACATCCCCCCTTTTCTCGGGGCGGGGGGGGGGGGGAAATATCCATTAGTTACTATGGAAACCCAAATAGCTCCAGGAGGGGCCCCTTTTGCAGCCTTCACAAAAGCATCTGAGAAATCAATTTGCAGTACAAAGGATGAGAGTTCCACACAAGGAAGGAAGGAACAGTTGGGATCTTTCCCAGCCAGCTGGAGTCTCCTTGCCTTGTGCACGGACGACACGGCTGCAAAATTTGGAGCCACCACGAGGTGGCAGTGCAGAGAGACCGGTGTCTGTCTAGGGCCATCTTGAGATGGCCCAGAGGTTTGCAGTTTAGGTCAGGGGTAGGGGTGGGATTCAAAAATCCCAGCAACTGGTTCTCTCCCCGGTTGCTGGATAGCAATGGTGGGCGTGGCCTACCGGAACTTTCCAGGACGGCCATTTTGTTTTGTCTTCCCCAGACTCTGGAGGCTTCCCTTGGGCCTCTGGGAAGGCGAAAACGGCCTCCCTGGACTCCGGAGAGCCTCTAGAAACCGGGAACAGACCCGTTTCGACTTCTGGAACTTCCAGCTTGGCTGTTTTTGGCTTTCCCCAGAGTCTGGAGATTTCCCTTGGGACTCTGGGAGGGTGAAAACAGCCTCCCCTGGGCTCCAGAAGCCAGAAACAGGCCCGTTTCCAGACCTTCTGGTTTGGCCTGTTTTTGCCCCCCCCCCCCCCCCGAGCCTCCACACATATCCTGCACTTACCTGCATCCAAAAAGGGGGCACGGAGAGATTCCTGGAAGGGGAGGGGCCAGCTGGTTGGTTTAACTATCTGTTTGGCGAACCAGATGTAAATTTAACATCCGGTTCACGCAAACCGGGCTGAACCGGCTGAATCCCACCCCTGGTCAGGAGTAAACACTGAAAAAGCCATTTGGACCAGTTTCCCACAAAAAAAAGAAAACACTGGGAGCCACAAAACACTTCCCAGTGCCTGACGATTTCCTGAGTGGCCACAAAACTAGCATATGTAGTTGAATTAAATGTTTCTGTTTTCTTCTGAAACTTTTTCATTTCTTGGATTGATCCATGGTGGGCCTACCAGGGGATCGAAAAGCTCAATTAATTACATGCATTGCGGGTGTCGGACATTGGTGGTTGTGATGCGTATTTTGAGTGACGGAGCTGTAGCAGAGGGATGAAAGAGCCACATGCGGCTCCAGAGCCACAGGTTGCTGATCCCTGGTGTAGGTATTGGAGTACAGGTTGTCCTCAACGTACGACCGCAATCGAGGCCGAAATGTATGTTGTTTAAGTGAGAACTTTGCTAAGTGAGTTTTGCCCCCTTTTACGACCTTTCTGGCCACCGTTGTTAAGTGAATCGTTGCCGTTGTCAAATTACTAATCTGGCTGTTACCCTTCCCCGTTGAGTTTGCTCATGAGGAGGTTGCAAAAGGGGATGGCGAGAGGCCGAGGTACCGTCATAAACATGACTCTGCTGTCTAGTGCAATATTAATGCAAAATCAGGGGTTTATCAATTCCATTGCATAGAACATGAAGGATGAATGTTTGTGTTTATTTTCATAGTCATAATGTACACTGAAGATGTTATTTAATTTTGTTGTATGAGATGCAATGACAATAAATTAAATTAAACTAAACTAAACTCCATTGCCAAGTGTCTGAATTTTCACCATGTGACGGAGAGGAATGCAGCAATTTCTTAGGTATGAAATATCGTCGTGCATCACTTTTTTGAGGGCAGTTGTAACTCGCCCAACGGTCGCTATACAAACTGGTGTAAGTTGAGGACTACCGGCACACTTATGAGTGGAAAATTGTCCCAACATCTCCACCCTGTCCATGTGAAATGGTTCTTGCTGGTGGGAGCAGAGACGAAGGTTGCCAACAATCTAGTGTTTGTCAACCTCCGCCATTTTATGAGGTGTGGACTTCAACTCCCAGAATTCCCCAGCCAGTCTTGCTGGCTGGGGAATTCTGGGAGTTGGAGTCCGCACCTCATAAAATGGCGGAGGTTGAGAAATACTGGTCCAATCTTGAAGGCGACCTCATCATGGGACATCTGGCTGGGCCTCGGATGACCTCCTACTCCTTCTCCTACCCTCTCCTTACCCAGATCCGCCAGCTCTACGTGGCCGAGCACGTACAAGCCACTTTTCTTGAGGTCGTTGATGAAGCGGATGAGCTGGAGGGAGGTGCGTGGATTCCGTACCATCAGCAAGACTTGCGGGCGCCAAAATTTGACGTGTTCTTTACGGATGTCCAACAGCAGCAGGTACTTGCGGACCTGGGTGTGAAAGAAGCGCAAGGGTCAGATAGAGCAAGGAATTCTGGGAGTTGAAGTCCACACATCTTTAAAGTTCCAATAGGCTGAGAAAAACGGATCTATATATGGACTGCAGCCCCAAACATAATCCAGGCTGGGGATGATGGGCGCTGTTGTCCCATCCTGAAGGATTGTGCATCGCTCTACAACTTTAACAGGTAGAAAGAAGATCACAATCAAGTTCTAAGAGATGGTCTCAGCCGATGTGTAATTTTAATAGGAATTCAAGCAGGGGCTTCGATACATATTTTGTGCAACAGTAAAGGTAGCCCTTAGCTTACAACCATTTGTTTAGTGGCTGTTTGGATTTGTTTAGTAAAATGAGGACCCAGATGGTTGGGGGCAAGAGACTGACTCTGTAAACCACTTTGAGAGGTCTGTAAAGCACCGTGAAGTGGTATAGAAGTGCTATTGCCCTTCTTTTCTCCCTCCCTCTTTTCCTCCCTTCCTTCCTTCCTCCCTTCCTGCTTCTTCCCTCCCTCTTTTCCTTCCTTCCCTGCTTCCTTCCTCCTTCTTTTATTTCCTTCCTTCCCTGCTTCCACCCTTCCTCTTTCATTTCCTTCCTTCTTACTCCCCCTCCCTCCCTCTCTCCCTCTATTTCCTTCCTTTCCTGCTTCCTCCCTTCCTTTTTTATTTCCT